AGATAATTCCGCGGCGGCGCACGCACGAACAGATAGGGACGCAGTGATATGCTAGCTACACATGGTCACACATATACTCGCACACAGGTCCGCTATAACGCAGGCTTCACCCAGTGCAGCTCACACGCGACGGAGCAAGCACACACAGTCACACACACACTGGAAAAGGGAGAAGATGCCAGATTCGCACATGATATATAATTATGTAATAACATGCATGATTCTTGGCAAGAACAGTTGCATGTGCGAAACTGAATATTTTCGATTGATACCATCAGGAGTGGATAATAGAGAAGTGTCTATTAGTGTGGATAGAGAGAGTTTCTATTATCCACTCCTGATACCATCGCACCGCGCCTCGACGATGTGAACGCCGTAATAACAGACCCTATTGTATAACAATAGCCACGCAACGGGTCAAAAATTTCACATTAACCGCGCGCCATGTTGACGTATAATCAACACGTCAGCTTTCGGTTATACTTTACGAGCACTAATTTAATTTGTTAACGCGAACATTGATAAAACCAGGCCTCGCTGCGCTAAAATCGAATTACCGTCTGCCACAACATCGCCAGCTCCTAATTCATTACCACAATGTATATTAATCAGCTGGTGTCTGTCTCTCAATGAGCGCACGACGAATGCAACAGCAGTCGACGCGATGGCAACTTCTGCCTCTCGCGTGCCGTGCATCTATACATATTTAACAGCCCGTAGTGTGGACGTATGAATGTCATCTATTATTACGCAGCGACACAAAAAAACAAAACTCGATTGCGGGAGGACAGAATAAGGGATGGCAGTAGCATGCAGCAATAGCAGCGGCGGCGGCATCAGCGGCAGCAGTAGCAGCGGCGGCGGCGGTGGCGGCAGCAGCAGCAGCAGTAGCAGCGGCGGCGGCGGCGGCAGCAGCAGCAGCTATAGCAGCGGCAACAGCAGGAGCAACAGTAGCAGCAGGGGCGGCGGTAGCAGCAGTAACAGTAGCAGCAGCAGCGGCGGCAGCAGCAGCAGCAGCAACAACAACACCAGCAGTAGCAACACCAGTAGCGGCGCCAGTAGCAGCAGTAGCAGCAGAAGCAGCAGCAGCAGTAGCAACACCAGTAGCAGCAGTAGCAGCAGTGCGCGCGCGCGCGAGTGCGTGTAAAATGGTATTTCGATGGCACGTAGTAAATAATAAACTATATTACTTTCAGCCGTGACTATATATAACGAGTGAAATGAGAAATTCAGTGCGCGAACGGAGGCGATAGGCCGTTTCCTTGTTCACTTCGTACTGATCATGACTGACGAAAGGCTAATCATACGTGCTATACGGCCATAAGAGGGACGCGTCGTAAACGCGTGTGTCGCTCACTGCTTTTACGTAACAGTTACGTGATGCCGCTAAAACACGTTAGAAACCGCGGGCTCTCTCGGAAAACCAGTATGGCGCGCATTACGCGTAAAAGCTCGTTCCGCTGATGTGTCCGTGAACTGCTAAAGCGTGAAAATATTCGTGATAAAGTTTAAAAGCTCTCTAGCCGTCAACATTTGAAGGCATGCTCCCGTAGTCGCAATTCCCCACGACCTATATACACATTAGTGGCATTTTATTTAGTTAGTTATATATCTGAAACAGTTAAACAACATTACGGCATTGCGAATGAATTGTTTACAATGCAGTAATTTTCAGTGTTAATCGTATTCCACGTTTATCACTTGTCCACTTTTAATTAAACGGTGGTAATAAATCTCTTTTTGAGTCGCAGTATTTGATCGCAAATGTTCGCCATCTTGCCGTCGCGCATGTGTCGCTGATGATTAGATCGATGATGTTAATGCGAGATGGCGAGTACGGACGATGACGATGGTTGGTCAGCCTACCACGCACATCGCGCCCGTGCACAGAGTGGCGTAATAGCCCCGGTCGCGGATATGTAAATCACTGCCCAGGGAACGGCGACAGATGTTTTGCAATTCAAGATTTCTCACTGCCACGGATTTCCGATATTTTCCATTTGCGTGCCGGTTACGTTTTATCAGGCGTGAAATAGGCCTGAAGTGATTTTTTGTGCGTGGCGAAAACCGAGCGAAAAAAATCTAGCCAGAAGGTATCAGAAATCAACATGTGCTGCGAGACCACGCTGCTGGATCCATATGCTGCCGCGGGCTAAATAACAGCGTCTCAACTTATAGAGCAGTACACGCAGCAGAAATCCCTCTCCTCGTCACTCGCTGCATTACCGCGCCATCATGTTATATACGTACGCGGCCACGGGAGCGTACATTCACGGTATACGTGCTGCGGCTGCGAACGCTATGCGCGTGGGTGAGAGAACGGCGAGCACTTCTGTCTCGTCGATGCATGCGTGTGACTCAGCGCTAAACGCACCGCGATAGTCGAAAAAAGTCGTTCTTTGTAACGGGTACTCCGATATAGCAAATACCGCGTTAATTCATAGAAGAAGTGCGTATTATACCCACGCGCGCGCGTGTGTGTGTATGTATGCGCGCGTGGGTGTGTGTGGGGTGTGTGTGGCGGTGATAGCGGTATAGTCATGCGTACAAGATTTTATATTAATATGAAATTGCGTCGTTATGATAGCGGGCGGCTATTAACATTGTACACGCTGTATGCAATGTACATATGCACTTGCACAGAACGTTTTAATAATAAAATGATGGTAAATAAACACGATATGTATTTACTACCAAAGTCTTAATGTTTCACTACTCTCTTTCGCCTCTTATTACTGATAGTTTCCTGTAAATACCGTTGAAATGCTCAGCTGCATCAGACGAGTACATCGCACGCGCGCCGCGGTGCACTAACAACAAGAATATAGAGACTCTATTTTATTATTGAAGCGTTCCAAGTGTCTGCGGCAACGCACGCCACGCGCACCTATACATTTGCCAGGACTCCTCCACCCCGCCGATGCGGAGCTGCCAACAGTTCCACAGTTATTACAAATATCACCTCCGCCCAGCTATCGGCCTGCCACCGCTCTCTCGCTCTCAAACACGACCAAGATTATTACACCAGGCGAAGTAATTTTCACTTCGGTAATCATAGGATTCGTCACGTCGCGGGAGAAGCTGATTCGAGCGCCGCAGCAGCAGCCGATTACACGTGTGAGCGTGCGGTGGGAGATTAGCGATGGCTTACGGTAGAAAGGGCGGCGTAGACGTACACGGCTGAATTTAGCGGAAAGGTCGGATTATATCGTTATGCTATGAGCTGAATATCCGTCGCCTAAACCCGACCTGTGCGGGTCCGTTTTAGCGGCTTACTCGACCAAACCACCGGGGAAATGCCAAAAACTGTTAATAGCCTATGGCAGTCAGAGAGAAAGGGAGAGCGGGAGAACGGGGTGACTTGAGTATTATGAACTCGCGGCGTTTTGTCTATAATTTGTTTTAACCATAACCGCACGCGTGCAGGGACGGGTAAGACAATCCCCGGACTATGCTCGCCTGCTCTATCGAACGAGGAGTCGCAACCCAGTGAGTCAGGCAGAAGGCGAGCTCCTCCCAAGGGGCAACGCTCTCGCGTATAAAACCGTGGCTTCTTTGCTAAATAACATGTTTTCGCGCCGCGAATCCTTCACGGCAGCGGCTGTTAAGCCGCATTACTGTCTCACTAATGCTACTTTATTAAGCCGCCGACGTGGCGAAGACAAAAGAATGTTCGGGCTGCGGACTGCGCCTAGCCGCCACGCGCCTTGACACTCGCGGCTAATCAGTGGGGTAGTAACCACACATTACACGTATTACTGGCGCTAATAGCCGGCTCATTATACAATGGATACGGGCCGCCATTACGCCCACGACGGCGTATGGATCTGCATGCAATTGAGAAATGGGGGAAATCAAACGCCAATTGTGCTTCTGGTGGCAAACGAGAAGTAATGGGTGGTTACGGACCTTGCGCAGACAGATTGGCTGTAAAACGCACGAGAAAATCAATCGTGTTATATAGAGGATGACATATCTAGAAGCAAGCGGGCACGGAAAACGACGTGGAGCCTTACGCGTGAAAACTCGACCCTCGTAAAACCTCTATATACGATAACAGGATATAGGCGTACGCCAGTACACGAGATAACAATAGTAGTGTGTAACAAACTCGAAATGCCTTCGTATTTGAAAACTGCAGTTCATAGTAAGATGAACACCTTACACGAATTAAACTGGATGAATTGTGGGAAGGATGATCGTTTCTCTCTCGCTCTCTCTCTCTCTCTCTCTCTCTCTCTCTCTCTCTCTCTCTCTCTCTCTCTCTCTCTGCAACTCACTCGCTTGCTCTCTCTCCCCCATTCTCCCTCCATCCCTCTCGCTTTCTCCGTCGTGTCATTATCGTGCCGAAATAGCGGGAGCAGATAGTGGGGGACTTTCGTCAGCCAGTGTTTCGCGCAAAATCATACTGACAGCACCTTTAAATTATGGATATCACCGCCGATGAAAACACTGCCGGATGACAGCGATTCATCGCTGGCACATGGGTGTATTCCCACCATCGACGTGCACCTGCACCTGAAAGAAACCAGCTTGAATCCCCGCACAGTGGAGCTTAACGTGCATGCAGAGCCTGAACTGCCTGGTAACTGGCGTTTTTATTGCAAATCAATGCGAATATGACATCAGACATAAAGGACCGAGTGGTAGGAAACCAACGGGTTAACTGCAAGTCAGGCATTCGATTTACGTGTGAGATAACGCGAGTGTGTTTTATGGGTATGCGTATTGATTGCTCGTTTATATTTACTGATATCATTCTTCGATACGTACAGTTCAATCAGTCCGAACTGGATTATAGAGCCATTTTATATTGCAGCTGCAACATGCAATTATGTGCGACATGATGCACTTTATAAACTTGTAGCAAGACTTTAATAGCTTTCGAACTGTAATGTTCTAAATCAAATTTCTGATATATTGCAACAATTTAATAGGTTTTCATAAATTTGTGCAGATAAAATAAACCTTTCACATGCCACCAACTCAACGAGGGAAAGTGTCATCTAACTGTGGAAAGGTTTATTCTCGTAGAATGATATTACTTACATTTTTTATCCTATTATTGATAACAAATTTCATTTGAAAATTAACAAACAGTAAGGCAGTGACATTTAAAGTACCATTTTAAACAAAATCTGATGCAATTTACACTGATTCCACACCTCCATATGAATTACAACGTCCAACAGAGAGAAAGCTGTCAGATGTATAGTATTAAAACATATCAGAACAAGACAGGACCTTGTCTGCATTACAGAACACCGATGTTTTACAGTTACTGAATTCACAAGTAATCGAGTAAACCACAAAATCACAACACTTAATTCCATGCAACTTAAAGCCTAACTTGTGTTATATTACATATGTCACATTTTCATGTGATGCTAGAATGGCCTACTACTGTTTTAAACACAAACGCAAACTGCACGAAGCTGGATAGTGAACCCTTGCATTGGAATAAGCCACATACTGGGTACAACTGATGCAGGCGCAATCAATACTCAACCACCAACACTTCAATAAGTGAACATGTGGCGCCACCTGTGTACAATGTTAGGTTAAACCAAACAGACACGCCATACTGTAACAGAAAAATTACATCTCAAGTTACCGTTAAAATAACAAGGCTTTTGAATTCACTGCGTATAATCTGCCTAGAGTTTATTCTATGTATGACTGTTACAACACATTTGAATTGAAAGTACTGCAGCCCAAGTGAAGATAGAGTCCAAGAGAAGTTAAATTGCCGTGGGCTGACCATTGCAAAATGTTCTCAGAAAGCTTTTTAGAGCTATTAACACAATAAACCCGCCCAACTCATGGTACTCCTTTGCCACCAGCAAAGCCTTGCTCTCACTTTTTCTGTCACTCTCTTTTTTCACTCTCACTCACATACACGGGTACACGCACACGCACATACACGGGCGCGCGCGCACACACGCACGCACACACACAACACGCACGACACGAACACGCACACACCCATTCTCCAACACACTCTTAATATCAGTTTATGACAGAATATTATCTTAATTTCTACCGGGTGTTCATAGAAATCGCACACGTCAACTGAACAATCTCTCCCCTTTCCCCACGTCAGAGTTTGACCCCTGCAGAGGTCAGGCCTCTTGCAATAGCAGCCATTGCTTGTATGCGCAATCAGCGACAGCTAAGTAGCACCACACCTGGTCACCGCTAGCCATTGCTCAAGCCCACGTCGTGCTAGGAAACCTTGACGTGTACAGCGGCCCGTCGCTGCAGCTCGTAGGCCATCTTGTGAATCTTGAAGCCAAAACACCTGCAATGCAACAGTAGCACTGCAGCCAGTAGTCACTAAGGTCTTTAGCTTCGGAACTACTCCGAGTAACCACTAGCATCTGCACATTTGAAATACTGTGCAAACATTAATCGCAGAAGAAGGGAAGACATTAGCCGGGAGGGGGTACCTTTACGGAGATGCCCGCGAGAGGATGTGCAAAATTTCTGCCAGAACACCATGTAGTCTGACAGCGAATAATGGGATGTCGTTTATAATATCAAACCCGACCATTGCTACGACTCTCATCAGTATACCTTTCTTTATGATGTAAAATTTAACTAAAGAGGGTGGCAAGGATTTAGAAACCATATTCAGGAAGTTTGATGGGCCTTTCCGTCAATTATTCCTACATTCCCCCGCCACTGTTTCTTAGATACTATTCGATCCAATACTTGGCCAGTGCTTGCCAAACTAACAACCAGTTGTCACCTGCTTGATGTCTTTTCTGCTGCAACTAAACACAAGCACACTGCCACACTAACATCAAGCGTAACATGTACAGGATAGGCATCTCGAGGTCTGGACTGTAATAGGGCCTACCTCCCCCGGCTATGTATCTTGCCTACTTCCTCACAGAGCGCATGGGAAGTTTGAAGTTGGTGGCGGCCTTTTGCTGAAGTTGATATGCCATTGGATGGATCTTGAAGCCATATAACCTGTAACAAATCTGGGTGTAAGTAACGGCTGTGTGCGGTTGGGCACAAATTGCTGGCGTCATTAACGCAAAATGTGAAAGCGTAACCTGCGGACGTAAAGCAATGCTGGGCTCGAATGCGTACAACATGCGACCATCAGTAATGCAGTTGGGTCCACCTACAGTGCTGCAAAATGTTATTGCAAATGTGGTTGTCGTTCATAGTATGACATATGAACTTTTCTCTATACCTGGGGACGAACTGGTTGGCAGGGCGCTTTGGTCTGTACTCTGGGTGCACCATGAACAGCATGTGTGGGAAGCCAGTGCCAAAGTATGCTCCATCGGTGTGGTGGTGACGGGAAGATTTCGGCGTGTAGACGTCCATGCATTTTGGACAGTACAACTTCACCATTGCTTCGCCTGGCACATCACTCAAACCTGTAGCAGGTAGCAAAAGGTTAATCTCATAGACACACACAGGTTGGTTTGCAGATCTGCTGATAATCCAGTGTTCTAAAAGCATGAAAACGTACGAACCACATTTTAGCAATGTAAATAATTAAATAAATTAAATAAAATGCATGGTCGTTACCTGGCGTATAACGATGTCATTACAATAACCCGTGAGCTCAATAAGTGGTTAGCTCACTGGACACTATAACTCTCACCACGATTCTAGCATAAAGGCAACGTATTTTTACTGAGTTATTACAGTGATTATATAGTTGATACGTCACACTAAAATAATTAAATAATAATTGATGTAATTTACAATCAAGCACCAGTGCTGCCATCTACCTGGAAACATTAGACCTGAGGAAGTCTGTTGGAGAGATGGACGAAAATTTCGTCAGAGTAAGTTATTTTGTACTGATTAAGGATCTAACTGAGATTAACTTTATTAGCAAGCGTCAGTTGTTTCACTAATATCACGCCACTTACCGATAGGGAGCATTGGCTGATTTTCACAATAAACCCGTGGACAATGCCCAAAGTCTCCCTGTTGATACTTCTCCAACTGAACAAAACAAGAAACAGAAACACAATATAAGACAAGCACACACCTGAAAATCATCTATTTCCACAACTTGTGGTCAGCGAGTTGATAAACTTTTTGCCAATCAGCCATTTTGATAATAGCAATCAGGTGTGTCCCTCCACCCAAGGGAAATTATTTGCGCACACGTTTTTGCTATCGGCACCACACAGGCTACACCGGGTGGCAATTAATACGTGCAAAATGCGGACTGCATCGCCCCGCAGGCACACTGCAGGTGAAATGTTGAAACGTTGGCTGACTCACAGTCGATAATGTAAACGCTTTGAACATCTGATAGAAAGGTTGATCGAAAGTTGAAAAGTTGATCAACTCATCGACTTTTCGATAGTGTAAACCCAGCTTAAGTTGTGATGAACGTTCAATTAACTTTAGTCCTTCCTGTCATCCGTATGCATTTATAAACACACTCCACACGTTATCACTTTGTGCCACAGACATGAAACAATCGGGTGTCGATCTCCCCAACAATCAACATCGCAGCTCGCAGTCCAGCAGTAAACCAGGCAGTATTCCAATACGAGATCTTAACTTCGAACCCTGCACACGAATTTGACATAACATGATCACAAGCTACTGTGCATACATACATGCATACACAGTGACATGCAGTGACACGAAGCTATCAAACGTGCAAAACAGAAACTAAGAATAATGCAGAACATCATCGACATAATCTAAGTACTACGTTACTACGTATATAAAACGTACCATCTGAGCAATGCCTCTATTTGTGAGAATGTAGCGAGCGTGGATGAGGCCATACAACATCTCGGCTGCCTGCTCGATGAGGTCACTCTGATTCGGGTTGTCCTCGAGCTCGTCATCTGCAGATTAAAATCCACTCTACTCGAACATGTCCTACACCAACACTTGCCTGCGCAACATTGTTGCGCAAAGTTGAGCACCACTCTTTCAAGTGCACCTTCAACACGCACGCTGCATGCTAGTACTTGCACGTGCAAAACATCGCAGAAAGTAGAGTAGTGACTATGTATAGGACCACTATACATACACAAGTTGTATGCAATTATTTGGCCTCCGGAAATTTTTTAAAGAGGAGCAGCTTAAAAGTAAAGGTTATGTTTAGCGCAGTAACACTACTAATTACGTTTACACATTTATTAATTTACCAATGCATAACTATTTCAAGAAAATCATACAACTTTGTACATAACAAATTGAAATAACACTATGATAACATGTTTTGCCACAGAGAAACAAACCTGGTTCCAAGTCCAGAATCATATCTAATGCATGTCTATAGTGTGGCACCTGCTCATTGAGACCTGTCAGATTGAACTTGTCTTGTATATAATCTTCATCTACCTAAAAGGACGTAAAGCGGCGTTTATTATGGCTCCCTTATCACAAAAGACAACTTTTTAAACAGCAAGGTTATCACATAATGAAAGTTTAGATTAATTTTTGGTTACATTTTGTATTTTAAAATACTTATTAGAGAAAAAGAAAAAGTCTACTTACCTCACAGAAAAACTCATTACCACGTAAGCCACAAAACCACGATATCCATGACACCTCTTCAGAGCTGCTCATTTTGTCTAAAAATGTAAAAATGCCACAAGTTCATATAAATACATACATAAAGCACCAGTTAGTGCAATAATTTGTAACAACCCACAATGCCATACATAACCATCATGGATCTTTCTAGCTATTATTAAGCTAATTAATTATTAAAAACACCATCATGAGGATCATAACTGTTATTATAGATCTTAAAACCTAAAATTCTCAAGATAGTTAACAGTTCTCAAGTCTCAAGTCAGAATGCACAATTAAGGTCAATGAATCCACACTAAACACATTCAGGGCATTGAAGGATAGTGTGATTGGTGGTCTCTCCATGTTCTTGTATTTATTTTACCACTGAAACCAACAGGCCAGCATCTCATAAAACTAGAGCTACAGGACGATTACATTTCAAATCACACTACTTGCCCATGCACTTCAGCCTCAAATTCATTAAAAAATTGAACAATATTTCACATTTGTTTAAATAAACAAAACAAGTTTTTCCTATTGATTCTACGTAGTTTTTGAGACTCCACAATATTTTGAGCAGAGCGCTAGTCAATTTTAACAGGAAAATTGCAACCCACCTTTAGGCAATTCAGGATCTTTGTATATATGGTAATATTATATTCAGAAACATGAATTTTTCATGGCACTTTTTTATAAAGGATTGCAAAATCTGTGGCTCTCAAGGGGCTTGGACAATTATCATGGTAAACTGTTTAAATTGATGACCCCAATTGCATCTAGTTTCTCCTTGTAAAATCTCTTTGATTATTCACCTAAACGCATAATTGCAACAAAGAAAACGGGACAAAAAATTGCCTTAATACTGGCGAGTTGCATAAAAGTGATGAAAAATTACAAAGACTGTAGGTTGTGTAGCAGCCAATTCAGAGAATCATATAATGATTTACCTGCAAAATAGTGGCATAAATTTACTAATCGTTTAACAATACGCGACACGACTAATAAGCCACTATAATAGGTTTCAAAAATGATGAGTTTGATCCAAAAAATGTTGGAGGTCATGAAACATGTTATATAAGTATATATATATATATTAGAACCCCTAAATTTGCTCCTGAAATACATATGTCCTACAGGCCCATCTTAATAACTGTGTAGACCTTCAAACTCACAAGGATTTGACTAATAAATAGGGTGTTACCCCTTTAACCAGAGTTTTGGCATAGGCACTTATTTGAAAATTTGTACTCTTAGCACACTATGTTTAATAAAACTTCTTGGAGTTCCATCAAACATACTTAGTCGCATTTACACTTACAAATAAACTTTACTGAATATTTAATGACTCCGCAAACAGAATAACAACAAGTTCCTAGCAGAGTGTAGTCCGAGTTTCCTCTGACCAATGCCCACACTGATGATTTTAAGTGGATTTGGTTTGGGTTTTGGTCAGAGCAACTTGCCCATCCAAAACGTGGAATTTCTCTGATCCCACCGAGAACCGCTGTTTCATCGCTCCAAGCTCACAATTGAGGCTATCAATCAACACCTACCGGACATAGATCGACAGCTGAATAACTCATGTGCTTGCTCGCATTGGTAAGTACACTTGTGCTCCTTTACCTTAGTCGTAGTTCGATTTTAAAACTTGTTGCTCACGTACGCGTATACGCAAGTCTGGGTCCGATATGAGTATACAAGCATACGAGCCCTACGTCATGATTCTGTTACTAACCGAGACTTGCGTATAGTATGTCACCTCACGTCCCGCATTGAAAATTGGATGGCAGATAGCGGTGGGAAATTGTGAGCTGTTGCTCAATTTTCAAATCAAACTGCGACTAAGGTAAATGAGCACAAGTGTACTTCTACTTCTACTCTATATTGGCCACCATCAACATACCGATGATTCTGCCAATGGCTATAGCTAGCCATCGGGTGTGACCTAGCTTGAGTAAAGCCAGGTAGTTAGCCTTTTAGCCGAATGGCACTGAGGGTGGTCACAGCCAGAGTTTCTTTGTACCCTCAGTGGTTCTTTGGTTTAAGGATAGAGATGATGTCCAGGACGGTGATATGATAGGATGATGTTTATTACTGGACATGCTCTCTATCGTTGAGGCGGTTCTTTTACGTCCCCATTGGCCTTAGTATTACTGGAGACGGGACCGCCATTTTACGTGGTCATCCAATGTTGAGAGCCAGGTTTTTACACCTTGAGAAAATTCACTGCCCCGGCCGTGATTTTTACCAATGCGAGCAAGCACACAAGTTATCCAGCTGTCGATCTATGTGCGGTAGGTGTTGATTGATAGCCTCAATTGTGAGCTTGTAGCGATGAAACAGCAATCCTCGGCGGGATCGTAGAAATTCCACGTTTTGGATGGGCAAGTTCCTCTGACCAAAACACCAAATCCACCAAAATCGGCGGTGTGGTCATTGGTCAGAGGAAACTCGGACTAAGCAGAGTCATGCTAACTGAGTGTTGAGAAAAAAGTGTTGAACCATGTGATAGAATGCTACAAATTACAATATCTCTAACTTTACTTGCCTACGAGTATATAAAATACTAGTAAACTACAACATATTACTACAGGTTCCTAAACAGTGGTAACACTATGTGTTCGAACGGGGACATAATATATAATATATAGCACAGTCACAGGATAAGCCAACCAGGCTGCGAGACTGAACGATAGTCGATACACACACGACTGTGTATTCTGTCACCACCGTTTTCTTGGAGCTAAGCAATGACCAATGTAACATAGCACAGCACTGGTTAAATGAGCTAGTGACCCACGTAACAATTAAAACAAAATAATTGTTACTATCTAAAGGAACAGAGCTCCGTATAAAATATTAGTTGAACCATAGTTGAACAAATTACCTTATGAATTAGCACATTACGCACAAACTAAAATCAAAACCACAAACCTGAAAGCTGAAAGTGGCAAAAAGCTCGACGGTACTGCCATCTGGTGGATATATCAAAAACACCGGAACGACAAACTTCTAACTTTAGACATTTTTGAACATAACTTTATAACTTAAATTTAAATATTAAACGTGCATGTTATGCATGGGCGTAAATGCCATGGGGACACGGGGGGCATGCTCCCCTACTTTTCGAAGGGTGGTGGACACAATATCAAATGTCCCTCAGGTTTTTGAACATGTGCTTCTACATAATTATAAGCCCCTTAATTCTGTATTTATTTTGTGCTTATTTTTATTTATTTATTTATTTATTTAAGCAATTATCCATCATATACGATACATAGCATACTTTTACGATAAAATTTTGAATTCATAAAATTGGATAAGATATCGATCCTTAACTCCCAAATTTCTTAACAATTTCTTAACTAAATTTCTCAACACTAAATTCCTAACTAGAATAAACATAATTTGTCCTAACTTGCTGTGGTAGAGAGTTCCAAGCTTCAATTGCAGTAGGCCCTACAGGTAAAGAAGTTTTTCCCACTGCTTCCCACCCTCGGTTTAAAAATAGCTTGTCTCCACTAAATGAAAAAAATAGAAAGAATAAAAAATGACTACCGCGATTGATACAAGAACCACGACCGTACATACTGCTGCTAGGTGCCCTAGCCTAGGTAGGAGATATTGAAAGGATTTGCTAGTCTCGAGTTCCTCCATATCTGCTTCTACACGCATGTAGGGCCCATACATGGATTTAACCAGGAGCTATAGCTGGAGCTAATAATGACAAATCTATGCTCTTTATATGAGCGCGCGCGTAGGAGCCTATACTAGCCTTACATATTACAAGTCTACGTTAAAGGCCTCCTTTAGTGATGAAAAATAGTTACATATATCAAATTAACTATGTTTTGTACAACTACTAAGAAATTTACAGGTTGAATGGTTTTCGGGTGTATGAGAAGAAAAGCATTTTTTGGTGATGAAACACAATGTTGAAAGAAGTTTTCGGGGGCAAACAGCAAAAGCGCCAACCTACTTTGGCGCATGACGTAGTGGAGCGTCAGGCTAAGGCAGCTAGCTCCTCACGCTTGTTTACCTGTTGCCAAGCGTGTACAATGGAGCCTGTACAGTACAATGTGCACACCGATTCAGAGTCGTCTCTAGACGTTCGCAGCCAGATATCCGCGCCAGCAGCTCCTGCAGCGCCACGCTTGTAGCGGCCATTTCATATAACTGCTGCCCCCATTTCGAAAAGCACTTTTCGTACTGTATATGTAAAATCGGGGGGGGGCGAGGAGGGGCGGGGGGCGGGGGGGGGGGGGGGGGGGCGGGGGGGGTGGGGGGGGGATGGGGGGGGGGGGTGGTAGGGGGGGGGGGGGAGGGGGTTTGGCGGGGGGGATTGGGATTGGGGGACGGGGCGGGGGGGGGGGGGTGGGGGGGGGGGGGGGGGTGGCGGGGGGGGGGGGGGGGGGTTATTTCGTCAATCAGTAGTTGTGGCGCTTGACAACTTTTGGATTATCGCACGTAGGGCGAGAATAACTCCAATGTGCGTAATTGGAATGTTTTGTTGGCGCGCTTAGTTCTTTTTGTACAAAAACCAATTTTGAATTTCGTTAATTACACGCCCTGAATTTATTCTCGTACATCGCTACCCATAGATGGGCGACGAGTCTCTCTTGGCGTGGATGTTCGAAGAGATTTGCCCACCAGAAAGAAGGGCAATTAGGCTCTAAGCTCCCTCCCCTCATTTGTAACGCTCGAGTTAACTATAACTTAGTGTAGCGAGCAGGATCATATGGTAATGAACGTGGCGTACCAGTCATTGGACACGGAGAGCTGACAGATTTTGTGGTAACAGAAGACGTTATGTGCAAACCACCAGCCCTATATCTGTTAGAACCGCAACTGGTGATGTTTGGGATCATGAACGTCATACTACAACCATGTATAGATCAGCACAGCAGAGAGAATTCAGGCGTAGAGGCACATGTTGTTTACACTGAGAAATGGCAACTAGAGTGTTCTCTGGCTGCAAAAACGCCTGCCGCCGGTGGCGCTCAGCATCAACAGCGGCCGTATGGCTGAGCGCAAGCAGAATCAGTGCGGGCGTGCTGAAGGTCTAACAGAATGGTTAAGAATTAATGGCGCAAGAACGCTGTTGTGGGCATTTAAACGTTGCGCACAAAACTTTTGCAAGATCCATATAATATGCACATAACCCGTGGCGGCAAAGCGAGCGAGAGCGAGAGAGAGAGAGAGAGACAGACCTGCGGGGAGTGCCGAGAAAGAGAGAAAAGATAGTGGAGAACGCCAGATAAGTACGAAAATACGGCAGGTGACGGTACGACGGCGAGGATGTACAAACGCGTGTCAATCCATAATCGGAAAGCCGATCCGAAAGATCCGAAAATCCCCCGCCTCGAAAGCGCGATGTAAGGCCGGAGCGGATGACTGCCGCGAAAATCTCCGCAGTTACGCTGAGTCCCCATAGAACGCATTCGCAAGCGCAGCCTAGCCTTCCTCGGGCTGCGAATGTGTATAGCGGGGAGCTTATAACCATAGCATATACCGCGGCCGCGTGCGCCAGTCCCGCGGAAGTGCGGGCGCTTAACGCGCTTTCGGCGGTCGGGGAGACAACGCATCTTTTGGCGGCAAGGCCATCAATTGTATCCCGTGCTCGCTCTGGACTAATATCAGTTTCGTATCGAACGGATGAGCAGTTCAATCGGCATGGATAAGAGAAAATGAAGTAGACATAGACAATGAAGTTTGACCATGTTGAAGATAGCTTGTGATTAGCTGCGACATGTTTGAACGCGTTGGCGACTAATGACGATTACGCTTAGCCGACCAGAGCTGTGCGACAGGATTTTTATACCAAGTGGACGGAATGGATATTTCTAAATCCTGCTCCGCAATACCGTTTCTGTGAGCTCACGATTACCCAGGGCATAGCTTTAAGGCAAACGCGTGCCAAGGAAACGTGCGATGCGCTTGTTCATAGTTCGTTGCCAACTGTTCAAGGCAGGTCGAACCAGCCAGAAGGAAACGCGCTGAATGGTGAGTTTAGCTCAGTATTTATTGTATGGTCCTAGCTGAGCATAATCAGGAGCAGTATAACTGACAGTATACGCTCCTGACATAAGGAAATGTTTTTGGCTTTCGGTACAAGCTAAATTACGGCTAGCAAGTTTTTCCAACAGATATATGCAACTGTCAGATTCCCATTGCTACAGTATGTCCTAATTTCTAAAGAGAGTAGAGCCTCAGTACTGACAGACTACAGTATGGCCGTGATAAAGAAAAGCAAAGCGACAATAGTCAAAGTAAATGTTTTGCGTACCGTAGTGGAAATATGACAAGGACTTAATACGTAGAATTATTATCACATGAATAATAGTAACAATGCTTATTTCACAGGTGTAATGTGGCATAGTACTTTGTATCGTAAGAAACTCAGTGTATAGCAGTTAGCGAGTATAATAATCAATATATGCATGTAGTGTTAACCCTGAGGTCAGCTGTAAACGTAATAACTAACGCGCGGTCCCGAACAAACAGAAAGTAGAGACCAAAAGCGATATTGCGTATCACACTGTGAGCTAGATTGGCATAGGGCTGAGAAAGCACGATATGCAAATATGGTTTTGGAACGGCGATTTTATTGTCTGAGTTAATCGTGGTTTAATCCGGTGAGTAAAGTCTACAATGCAATATATGTAATATATACTATATCATGCTTCATGGATTGAGTTAATATGGCAGTTGGATGTTTATGCCAATATACAGTTAGCGCGCGAGTATAGCTGTTGTGCTCATGCACTGATGGCAGGCTGTGTTGGCGGCGCAACGCGGGAAGAACGCTAGGCCTGACGTCACAGGCCGTTTCCGCACCTGGTGGCCGGTTTGGCAGAAAAATGATTTTCACATCATAGACCCAAACCATCGAAGACGTGTTTTAAATATGCACAGAGCAACAAAAAATAACGAAATGCTTTCGTTATTTACGTGTGATACTAGGCTTCAAAAATTGTTAAAAATTTGACAAGTTTTAGAGATATCGCACTGAAAGAAGGCTTAAATCTGGTACTAATAGAAGCAAATTGTCTATATATCAACAATATAATTCTGCGATATATAAGTTGGCAATATGATTGTATGTTGGGGCAATATAGTTGCATTATATAGTTGCGATATATATACTGTTGCGATATATATTGTTGCTTGTATGCCTTAGTAATTGACAATTGTCATTTATTAGCTCCAGATTTAACGTAGACTTGTAAATATGTAAGGCTAGTAGGCTGCTACGCGCGCGCGTCATATAAAAGTGGCATAATTGATATGACAAAAAATTTGCACGGCAGTAGATACGTTTATTCAGAATAGTGAAGCAGAGCCTTGGCATGTAAGGTCCCGCGTGCAATACCAATCAGTTAATCCTGGAAAGGCGTTACTGTTTTAGCGCATGCCTAATACATCGTCTGTTTCTGTAATTAAATTTTTTATCAGTAGAGCATGTGTTTATAATTATGGAGAGGCGATCCAGAGAGACATGATACAAGATTGCGTGGCACAGCTTTGCTGTTGATCGGGCTAAGCGCTGCGGCCGGGATGAGAACGTCGACAGTCGCGGGATATGCGCAACAGGCCGACCGCAGGAGATGTTTCAAGTATGAAGCCGGTGTCCGCAGTGGAGACCGTGCGGCCTAATCCGATGCCCGGACACGTCTCCACAGCGGTCAGCGATGGTCTGTAAGTTTTAGAAGATGACAATGATTATATGGAACGATATCTAGAATAACGAGTTATAATATAATTAATTGAAAAAATTGCCTTTCGCCCAAGTCCATGCTCGAGATTACCACAATTGACAGTTCGCATTCTCGCTTAAGCACTACATTGGCTACTGTTCATACGACGTGAAGCAGTCGAGAGCGCTGGTCGGTTTAGCCCCAGATTAAGCTGAATCAAAAAGATTAGAATTTAATATATGAACAAAAACTAATAATAGTTATATAAAATCACAAACACAACCGAAAGGAGGCGAGGTGATTAATAGGCTAACGGCAAAGACATAATAAAATTCACCAAATATTCATACTACGGGATTTCCCAATATAGGAGGTATTAACGCTATGATAGGGCGAGGTCCGAACTTGAAAAATGAATTAATATTATAAATTATTATTCAATGAAATCATTATTATGGCAAAAGAGCAAGAATTGTGGAAATCATACTATAGAAGCAAGATGAACATTATGCGAAATACACAATTTTATTCACCTTTGCTTGCACCATAAATGAAACAGTGAAAACATGGACTAAGCTTAACTAAGGAAGAAGTAAACAGTGTTGCAGGAATACCAAAATGATCGCAGAGATGGCGCCTGAACAATGTAAAGCATTGCTCGCCGAAGCGAGATTTTTTTTCCGAAAATGTTACTGTAAGATACAGCGCTCGTTGACTGGCGAAGCAGCGAGTGAAAAATGCAGATTTTTCTCTATCGATGCGAATGCATCGGCGCGGGCATTCATTATTTACGAAAAAGTCAAGCGGAGCTGCAGTAGGTACAGATCAAGCTCACGCGTGACCAGCCCATTGCATGGCGCAATCAACAAATAAGGCGGGGCTTTATCGTGCTGAAGCAGATATGCGAAAATGAAAAAAAAATTAGCACTGTGGCGCAAAACAGCGTGTTTATTTTCAGCCCTCCTAGCTCCGCCCCCGCCCCGACCCCCCCACTGCCTAAGCTTATACCCGACCCGCCCTTCCCTAGTCTGCCATGTCGTACGCCGGTCAGACCCCGCTTCTCTCTTCACGCCCCTCGAAGCTGTCTTTTCCTAGCCAACTTGCCCTCGAGTTTCCCACCCCTCTCTCCCGCAGCAACGCATATTTACGTACTTTTTCTTTGGACGTACTGCACGTCTGAAACGGTGCTAGCGCATGCGCAATATCTCTCGAGAAGAAGAATATTTTGCAAAATATAATAAAATTTTATATCCGATTTATATAATAAAATGTTATCAGTAGAAATTAGTTCAGAAATAGGATGCAGCCCTTGCATGTAAGATCACCTCTCTGCGTATACCAGCCACTAGATAACATGGCTACGTTACTGTATTAGCGCATGCGCAATATCTCACCAGATGAGTTTTATTTTGTGATGAAAATGCATTTAATATGGTCAGTGGATATCTAAACATAGGTTTCTGTAATAAATTCTTATCAGTAGACCTGTGTTTATAGTTAGGAGAGCGCCCTAGCCTGTAGGGTGCAAACCCCCTACTTTATACTCGGCGGCCCTTCCCTTTGTCTCCATTGTCGTGCGCTCAGCCTCCTTCTCCTTCCACTGCCCCTCGACTGTCTTCCCTACCACCTTCCCTCAGTTTCCCTCCCCTCTCTCCCTCAGCAAGCTATATTTACGTACTTTTCCTTTTGCCGTAATGCACGTCTAAAACGGTGCTCGCGCATGCGCAATATCTCCCGAGAAGAAGAATATTTTGCAAACATCATAAATCTAAAACGAAGAGGGGTTATCCTAGCATAGATTTATATAATAACATGTAATCAATATACATTAGTTCAGAAATAGAATGCAGACCTTGCATGTAAGATCACCTCTGCATATACCAGCCACTAGATAACATGGCTACGTTACTGTTTTAGCGCATGCGCAATATTTTACCAGATGAGTTTTATTTTGTGATAAAAATGCATTTAATATGGTCAGGGGATATCTAAACATAGATTTTTGTAATAAATTCGTAACAGTAGACCTGTGTTTATAGTTAGGAGAGCGCCCTAGCTTGTAGGGTGCAACACTACTACTTTATATCCGCCCGCCCTTTCCTTTGTCTCCATTTTCGCACGCTCAGCTTCCTTCTCCTTCCACCATTCTTCGACTGTCTTCCCTGCCACCTTTCTTCAGTTTCCTACCCTCTCTCCCTCAGCAAGCTATATTTACGTACTTTTCCTTTTGCCGTACTGCAAGCCCGAAACGGTGCTCGCGCATGCGCAATATTTCCCGAGAAGAAGAATATTTTGCAAACATTATGAATCTAAAATGAAGAGGGGTTATCCTGGCATAGATTTATATGATAAAATTTCATCAGTAGAAATTAGTTCAGAAATAGGATGCAGACCTTGCATGTAAGATCCCCGCTGCATATACCAGCTACTAGATAACATGGCTACGTTACTGATCTAAGCGCATGCGCAATATCTCACCAGATAAGTTTTATTTTGTGATGAAAATGCATTTAATATGGTCAGGGGATATCTAAACATAGATTTCTGTAACAAATTCTTAACAGTAGACCTGTGTTTATATATAGTTACGAGAGCGCCCTAGCCTGTAGGATGCAAAACCCCTACTTTATACCCGGCGGCCCTTCCCTTAGTCTCCATTGTCGTACGCTCAGCCTCCTTCTCCTTCCACTGCCCCTCGACTGTGTCTTCCCTGCCACCTTCCCTCAGTTTCCCACCCCTCTCCCCCGCAGCACGCTATATTTACGTACTTAGAAACGGTGCTCGCGCATGCGCAATATCCCCCGAGAGAAATAATATTTTGCTAACATTATAAATTTAAAATGAAGAGGGGTATCCTAGCATAGATTTATATGATAAAATTTCATCAGTAGACATTAGTTCAGAAATAGAATGCAGACATTGCATGTAAGATCTCCGCTGCATATACCAGCCACTAGATAACATGGCCACGTTACTGTTTTAGCGCATGCGCAATATCTCACCAGATAAGTTTTATTTTGCGATGAAAACGCATTTAATATGGTCAGGAAATATCTCAACATATGTTTCTGTAATAAATTCTTAACAGTAGACCTGTGTTTGTAGTTAGGAGAGCGCCCTAGCCCGTAGGGTGCAAAACTCCTACTTTATACCCGGCGACCCTTCCCTTTGTCTCCATTGTCGCACGCTCAGCCACCTTCTCCTTCCATCGCCCCTCGACTGTCTTCCCTGCCACCTTTCCACAGTTTTCCACCCCTCTCTCCCGCAGCAAGCTATATTTACGTACTTTTCTTTTTGCCGTACTGCACGTCTGAAACGGTGCTCGCGCATGCGCAATATCTCTCGAGAAGAAGAATATTTTGCAAACATTATAAATTTAAAATGAAAAGAGGTTATCCTAGCATAGCTTTATATGATAAAATTTCATCAGTAGACATTAGTTCAGAAATAGGATGCAGACCTTGCATGTAAGATCCCCGCTGCATATACCAGCCACTAGATAACATGGCTACGTTACTGTTTTAGCGCATGCGCTATATCTCACCAGATGAGTTTTATCTTGTGATGAAAATGCATTTAATATGGTCAGGGGATATCTAAACATAGATTTCTGTAATAAATTCTTAACAGTAGACCTGTGTTTATAGTTAGGAGAGCGCCTTAGCCTGTAGGGTGAAAAACTCCTACTTTATACCCGGCGGCTTTTCCCTTTGTCTCCATTGTCGCACGCTCAGCCCCCTTCTCCTTCCACCCCCCTCGACTGTCTTCCCTGCCACTTTCCTTCAGTTTCCCACCCCTCTCTCCCTCAGCAAGCTATATATACGTACGTACGTAAGAGGGGTTATCATAGCATAGATTTATATAATAAAATTTCATCAGTAGACCTTAGTTCAGAAATAAGAAGCAAGACCTTGCATGTAAGGCTCACGCTGCATATACCATTAAGTACATAACCTGGCTACGTTACTGTTTTAGCGCATGCGCAATATCTCACCAGAGGAGTTTCATTTTGTCATGAAAACACATTTAATATGGTCAGGGGATATCTCAACATAGGTTTCTCTAATAAATTCTTATCAGTAGACCTATGTTTATAGTTAGGTGAGCGCCCTAGCCTGTAGAGTGCAAAATCCTACTTTATCCCCGCCCGCCCTTTCCCTTGTATTCCTTGTCGCACGCTCAGCCTCCTTCTTCTTGTACCGCCCCTCGACTGTCTTTCCTGCCATCTTCCCTCAGTTTCCCACTTCTCTCTCTCTCTCTCAGCAAGCTATATTACGTACTTTTATTTAGGCCGTACTGCAAGCCCGAAACGGTGCTTGCGCATACGCAATATCTCCCGAGAAGAAAAATATTTTGCAAACATTATGTATTTAAAATGAAGAGGGGTTATCCTAGCATTGATTTATATGAAAAAATTTTATCAGTAGACCTTACGTCAGAAATAGGAAGCAGACCTTGCATGTATACGGCATGTATAGGGGTAAATATTTTTATTTTATATTAAACACATTCTATAAAATTCACTTGTTTACATACGATACAGTAATTCGACAATAATGCCACTTTCCGAAGTTACTCATATACATTATATTTTATTATTAATCAATACAATATCGTAATAAAGCCCCTTATGGTGACTGTTAATTCTCAAATGTCAGAGCCGGGCGAGCAATTGTTCAATAATATCGGGAATTAAGTGCAGCCGGATTAACAATAAATTCCATTTTCCATGTTCATTGAAAACTAGAGAAGAATCGTCTGTCAACAGAATTGGTAGCTACCTGACCAAATTAATGGATAATGTCATGATTTCCCTGCTTGCCCAGAAGGTACGTAGGGCCTACTGACAGATCAAAACACGCGCAGCTTCGCACATGAGGTAAATGATCTGTGTATTCATTTGTTCAATAATTGCTCTAACACCTAAGACGACATTTCATGAACACATATATATGTGTTGATGTTCGCACAGTATTTTGATTTTAACAGCTTTGTATGCGCTGATGTATAAATGATGTTCGTGCACAACATAATACGTAGTATATCTGTGTCAATTGCTTATCAGTATGGTCTTTGCCATCTATGCTTATTAAGAGCCAGTCAATTCTGAAGGCTCAAATACACGAAAATGCTACTATGATTCCGCTATTAAATAAATAATTGCAGAGGTAAGCTGCCAATTACTACACAGCGTATAGTTTTTGCAATATTATTGTAGCTGACTGTATTACTATTTTTTGTATTACTACGATTTGTACTATGCTGCTCGAATGTCATTGTCATCGACCACTCATTTTAGGAATGAATATTATATATACCAGCTAAAATGCATTCATCCCTATAGGGAGCACAAACTTGTAATAATAAAAATAAAAATAATAATAGTACACAACAATATAAACATTAGTGGATCACAGTTTTAGAAAAACTTTTCATCATGCCCTTCCTCTCGACTATGCGTGGGGACGTCGTCGGCTTGGTCCTCTTCATAATCCTCATTGTCCTGACCTTCATCGACGTCGTCTTGCGCGCTCTCGCGCATGCGCGCTGGGATGTGATCATACGGTGGCTCGTCTTCGAACTTCGTCTTGCGCGCTCTGTGGCGGCCATGTTGTGCCGATCGCCCGGATGCGCCGCCATTGAAATAGCCGTCCTTGAAGGCGCGTCTGCGCGGTAGCACGTCAGACTCTCCGTACGGTTCGTAGAACGGCGCCTCGTACTTCGGCTGACTCGGTGCAGAGCTGCGCGTCGGCTGGTTAGCCGCCGCCGTCGCCGTCGCCGCGTCTCCGTCGCCGACGCCGTCGAACGCCAGATCCTCGAAGAAGAAGTCGGCGCGTCTTCGCTTGTGCCGATCCTTCGACGCGCCGCCGATGCGCACCGTCTCGCTGCGCAGCTCCTCTAGCGTCTTGTCCGTGAAGAAGTCGTCGTGCTTGCGTCGCAGCACCGTCAGAGCCTCGCCCTGGTCGTGTAGGCGGCGGCCTCCGATGACAGGCGTCGGCGGTGCCGAATACGTCGCATCGGAGTAGAGCGGCTCATCCTGGCGGTCCAACTCTTCGGAGAGCAACAGGAATCGTTTGGCGAAGGCAGCGTCCAGCGTCTTGATGTCCTGTCGCTGATTCTTCGACTGCAGATGCTCGATGATGTTCGGGTGCGGTCGCGCCTCTTCGGAAATCGCCGAAGCGTCGTCCGGTTCGTTGATGCCTTCCAGTCTCTGCAGATCCCTGACCAGCTCCACCGCTTGCTCGGCCGTCAACTGCTGGTCGCCGACTCGCTTCCTCTTCGGCTTGAAACAGAACAGCTCGGTGATGGCGAGTATCAACTCGATCGTGCTGAAGCGATGGAAGATCATGCCAAAGAACTGAATGACGAGAATGATGATGAATACGACGAGGAAGGCGATGGCGATCGGCTCCAGCTTGAGAACCTCGCCGCCGCTGCCCCACGGCCACTCGACGTACAGGATGCTCTTCTTCAGCTGTAGCAGGAAGACGATGAGCACGTACATGGAGTTGATCATGAAGAAGGCGAGCACGGACAGGTCGCGCAGCTCTCGCAGCTGCCGCTCGACGCGCCGCTTGTCCTCGGCGACCTCCTCCAGCGGATACAGATAGGTGTCGATCAGCTCGATCCAGAAGGAAACCTCGTCCTCGTCGAGATACTCCAGCGGACAGTTCTTGATGCTGCGGTCGGCCAGCCAGTAGGGGTTCCTCAACTCGTCGCGCATATCTACACAAGATCAACGCCAGTGTGAGTGCATAATAGGTCAACGAGCCGTATATGTGTACAGCGCTGTATTGAGCCCCCCCGTATGTAAAAACCCCTGTCTGCACTCATTGCTGACTACTTAGGCTGATATTAAGTTATGGAGGTCGTACGGGCACCAACAATGGAAGAAGACAGTGTTCTGACGGGAAAGCAGAAATAGGCAAACGAATTATTGATATTATTATATAACAATATTAATAGATATGGGGACGGAATAAAGAACGAACAGGAAAACAGCATCGACATCCCGTACATTAGAAATCAGCTTATTTCGTCAGACAGAATAATAGGAAACTCGTTTAGTGCCTAACAATTTTGCAGAACATCTCACGTTCAATCATCGTTCAATATAAAGTTGAAGTTGACATAAGGCTTACCCCACCCCGGGTCAAATCCCGAGACTTTCAGTCCGTCGGGCCCTACGTACTCGTAGTTGTGCCCGTAAAGGGAATTACGAACTTTCTGGTACGGAGTCATTGTGCTCTTTGCTTCTCGAGCTTTCTGCTCATTTTCAAGCTTCTTCTGGAAATCGTCGATTTTGCTTTCAATCTTATCGATGTCGTCAATGACGCGCATGACCTCTGCGTCGTCTTCATCCGGCACGACCGGCGTCAGACAGAACATACACCTGTAACGGAACACAGCGCGTCAGACAGAACATACATCTGTAACGGAACACAGCGTGTCAGACAGAACATACACCTGTAACTGAACACAGCGCGTCAGACAGAACATACACCTGTAACGGAACACAGTGTGTCAGACAGAACATACATCTGTAACTGAACACAGCGCGTCAGACAGAACATACACCTGTAACGGAACACAATGCGTCAGACAGAACATACACCTGTAACGGAACAAAATACGTCAGACAGAACATACACCTGTAACTGAACACAGTGCGTCAGACAGAACATACATCTGGTAAACGAAACACATTGCGTCAGACAGAACATACGACCTGTAACTGAACACAGTGTGTCAGACAGAACATACATCTGTAACTGAACACAGTGCGTCAGACAGAACATACACCTGTAACTGAACACAGTGCGTCAGACAGAACATACACCTGCTAACTGAAACACACAACCGTGTGTCAGACAGAACCTACACCTGTACTGAAAACAACAGTTGCGTCAGACAGAAAATAACACAGGTAACGGAAACAGTGTGTCAGACAGAACATACACCTGTAACTAAAACACCAGTGCCGCCAAGACAAACATTAACACCTGTAACTGAACACACGCGTCAGACGGAACATACACCTGTAACGGAACCACAATGCGTCAGACAGAACATAGCACCTGAATGAACACAGGGTGTCAGGACAGAACATACATCCTCTAACTGAACACAGTGCGTCAGACAGAACATACACTGTAACTGAACCACGTGCGTCAGACAGAACATACACCTGTAACGGAACACAGCGCGTCAGACAGAACATACACCTGTAACCGGAACAGAGTGTGTAAGACAGAAGACACTGGTTCGAACTAAAACTAAGCTGTAAGGGGTTGCTGTGCATCATGATCAGACAAATATAATATTTATATATATATATATATATATATATATATATATATTATACATATATATATATATATATATATATACATATACATATACATATACATATATATATATATATACATATACATATATATATGGGTAGTACTCCAGACAGTGTAGTCTAATAGTCGATTATAGTACCGATTACTACCGCGCTAAACATCTTACTAGCTAAACATAATAGAATAAATCGTTGTGTTAATTAGACCGTATCTAATTGCGTCGCGTAACCGTGCGCGTAAGTGTACATTACGATAGTAATTGACATGCTATTGATGTAAATTCTGTGCAGACCATTCAGTGTCGGGAGCGGCTTTACCTGCAGGCCGTTCCGAATCCGAGATTAAAGCCAGCGTCGTAGTTCTCCTGCTGCTCGTGCTTCGCCTTGAACTTCTTCAGGATGTCCTTGAGTTTGCTTGCGGCGCCAGACTGGCCGCCTTCTTCTTTCTTCTTCTTTTTCTGCGGATTCGACGCTACGGCTCCTTCTCGCGTTCCCCATGACACGTTGTTGAGGTTGACGATCGAGTAGATGATGAGCAGCAGATACATTGCCGGGATGGAGACGAGGTACAGCAGGCCGTAGCCAATATTCCAGAACTCCTACAAGATGTCGCAACGGTGAGATATTGTCATAATTGTTATAAAATGACTTCCGCAAATTTGGGCGTTTAATTGTTAAATGGTTGTTGATGAGATGTTGCTGGATAAGACTATTGTTGTTTTTTTGTTTTCTGTTCGTGCGTTGTTTCGTGGCCACTGACGTCCCGTAGTCATACACAAGCATGGAGTGTCGGCTGTTGCGAAACGACGTTGAGGATGGAACGGTTATTTTCGCGGAATTGAACCATTTGAATTTTCGATGACCCGAGAAATTCGAAATAAATCTCTCGTGATTCGAGAATCGAAGTTAAGCGGTGATTTCAGTGAACTAGGAATTGTGCAAGGACATATTTTGATCTGTGACACAAGGAATGCTCCCCCTCCCCCGTTTCCCTTCGACGCTTACTGCGCGCATCTCTCGCTGACTAGCTCACCTGCGGATGCATAACGGCGGCGAGAAAGAAGAACGATGTGATGGTGAACATGAACAAACTGCTGGGTGACGTCAGACCGTCCTCGTTCATCTGCAGGGCTATACCGACTGTCACAGCCATCATCAGCAGCGCGTAGCCAGAGCTGAGCAGCGCCGCAAACTTCAACTACACCGAGAAACAATGAAGTGAAATCAGTGTGAAGCCCTCGACGTGGAAAATGCCAACGTATCCAATAATAGTTAACAAACAACAAGTAACAATGCCTACGTATCCGATAATATATAACAAGCAACAATTAACAATGCCTACGTATCCGATAATATATAACAAGCAACAAGTAACAATGCCTGTGTATATCCGATAATATATAACAAGCAACAAGTAACAATGCCTGTGTATATCCGATAATACATAACAAACAACAAGTAACAATGCCTACGTATCCACGTAAATATGTGATAGCGTTAATATTCAATCAGAGACGCTTCACATAACAACGCCAATGTATCCAGGAAAGTACATGGTAATTGGATTATGCGCGCATGCTCTATCATCATATATGTATTCTTATACTTCACGCTTACTGCATTTTCAGCGCGGATGCAATAATCTGCTATAAGAGGGCTGGCTGCTGATACCTGTGTGTTAGTTTGTGTAGTCATGCACACTATGACAAACAGCGCCACTGGTAACATGTTGATGCAGAATGATGTCCACATGTTTATGTGGAACACAAGGTTCATGGCTCCCGTGATCATAAGGAATATGGTTCCTGGACCGATGATAGCACAGAGTAGCAACGCCCATTGGTAGATCATGTACCTGCGGCCAACAATGAACAGTTAAACACTGACTATAGATGCTGCGTAATCACCAGCATCAACATTCATTTTGATGTTTATTGTAAAACACGATATATAATATAAGTAGCGTAGGGGGGCCTATTATAGATTCATTCAGGAGTGAATTAACGCAAGTGTGTTCTTTTCTAAATAAATAATAAAGAAAACGTGATTTCTTTTCAGGATTACATATAAATAATTATCATCGGGTTGCACGCACACGACTGTTAAGCAGTCAATCTTGTCTTTTAATTATCATAATAGGAATATATGACACCGTCGTTGATGCGTGCTTGACCGTCGTGGACCTACCCGAGAGATATGCTGTCGTTGATCTTAACTGTCCTGTGGGATGAACCCAAGAGGTCGAAGATGTTGGCCAAGGTCGATGGTACCCAGCGACGCCGCTGGTTGTAGAATTCAAAGAAGCCTTCGGGGCAGTGCGTTAAGGCGTCGGAGGCAGCGCAGTATTCTATACGATAGCCTTGCTGTAGCAGCAGCGTACTCAGCCAACGATCCTCACCTGAAAAATACGTGCAAATTAAAGAAGTGTCGCAGAGCGACAGTGCTCATTTGAGGTCTTTAAAATTTAAGTGGGTAAAGATGTATAGTGGGCAAGAGTAGAAAGCAATAGATGGTATTTAATTTTGGACGTAACCAAGTTCGTATATATCTGTTTTCTTTAATAATCTGTAATCTGTTTTTTCCCGTTGAGGGTAAAGGGTCGGTGAGCAAACAGATACTCTGCGCACATTATTAAACAAGGGAATCAGAAATAAAAAAAAGACATCAACAAGATATAAAAAAAACCTAAATATAATAACCTAACGCTAAAACTAAAAACGTACCCTGATCGTACTGCACGTAATGTCGAGCTTCTTGGGAGACGGTCGCGTACTTTCTCATGACGTTATCATCCATGAAAGCTGAAGCCCGGAAGAGAGAGAAGCAGCCTGGGGAGCAGAGTACACAGCCCAACATGTGCTCGGTTGCCTTCTGGAACCAATGGCCGATAGCGTATTCGAACTGCTGGTACCACGCCATAGGACCTGCAAGAAGAATGACGAATATCTACAATACGCAATGGATAGGCGCAGCACAAAGATATATGTTGTTCATGTTCATCATGTATCATGTTCACACCCGTGATGTCACCTGCTCACCCCGTGACGTCACATGTTCGCCGTGACGTCACCTGCCCCCATGACGTCACCTGCTTACTGTAATGTCGCTTGCTCACACCGTGACGTCACCTGCTCGTCCCGTGACGCCGTCTTACCTGTGCCGATGGGATGGATGCGTCCGCACGCCGATCCGACCTTTCTGTTCTTCTTCATCATGTCGACGAGCAGATGCACGGCCGTCGGCTGGAAGTCGACGTCGCCGTCCAGCGTCAGGATGTACGTGTTCTCGGCGATCATCTGCTTCTTCGGAATGTCCTCGATCTTCTCCCACAGCTTGTGCCCGAGCAGGTAGTACATGTAGCTCACCTATCGAGAGACACGTACAATGAGTAAGTAAGTAATTAGTAAACACTTTATTTAACGACGGTAAAACATGTTAGGTACAGACACAATCAATTGGCGCGGACCTATCTTCCACATGGCCGTCTCAATGAGAATCTACGTCACGCATAAACACATACATACTAATATAAACACGTATGCGTCCAGTCCAGGATATATATGTGCATGTGTATATGTATACGTATATGCATAATTTTAAATGTGCTGACGCACGCACAGCACACACACACGCGCGCGCGCACACACACGCACGCACACACACGCACGCACGCACGCACACACGCACGCACGCACGCACACA